ACTGTCAACACTGTCCTATAAGAAATACTAATGAGTCTTTCAGACTTAAATTAGAAAACACTAAATGTTAACTTGAATCCACATGAAGAAATAAAGTACACTGTATAGTAACCTAATAGGTAAATATATAAAAGTGTAGTAGGCTGAATATTGAGTTTCCAAAGTTATGCATGTCCAAACTCTTGGAACCTATGAATGTTACCTTTTAGCAAAAAAGAGACTTTGAAAATATGATTAAATTAAGGATCTTGATATGGGGACATTATCTTGGTGGGCCTTAAATGCAATCACAAGTGTTATTATGAAAAGGAGACAGAGTTAAATTTAACACAAAAGAGGAAGAAAGCAATGTTATTGTGGAAGTAGAGTGACATTTGAAGATACCATCCTGCTGGTTTTAAAGATGGAGCAAGGGGACATACACCAAGAAATGCAAGAAATTCATCTCCAGATGATAAAAAAAAGCAAGGAAATGGATTCTTCCCTGAAACCTGCAAAGACAGTATAGCCCTGCTGACTTTGGTTACATCTCCATGAAACTATTTCAAGTTTCTGAACTTTAGCATTGTAAGAGAATACATTTTTGTTGTTTTAAGCCACTGAGTTTATGGTAATTGTTATAGCAGAAATAGGAAATTAATACAAATAGTTATATATGTATATTTGTCTGTAACTCTTTCCTCTTCTATTTGATTTAAAAGAAAATTCCATAAAACAATAATTATAAAACAATGTTTATGGGTTTATAATGACTAAAGATGTAATAGCTAAGATGTAATTTCTATGACAATAATAGCACAAAGAAGGAAGGAGAGAATGGAGCTATAATAGAGCAAACTTTTTGTTTCTCACTGAAATTAAGTTAGAATTGATACAAACTAGATTGTTTTAAATTAATATGTTAATATTAATCTCTAAGCCAATCACTAAAAAAAATTAAAAAATCTTGTAATAGGAACAAGAGAACTAAAGGGCACATTAAAAATACCTTTTTAAAAAGAATACAATAGTGAAGAAATAGAGGAAGAAAAAATACAGATGACATATTGAGAACAAATAGCTAAACAGCATATGTAAGCAGATGTAAATATTAACTTATCCATAACTACATTAAATATAAATTGATTAAACACTCCATTCAAAAGGCAGAAATTAGCAGAATAGATAAAAAGCATGATTCAACTCTATCTTATCTACAAGAGAATATTGTACATTCAAAGAGTCAAATAAAATGAATGTGAAAGGTTGGGGAATTATATACCATAAAAATAATGACCAAAAACGGAGTAGCTGTTCTTATATCACACAAAAAAAGAATTTAAGATGAAAAAATGTTATTGTATAATAATAAGAGTGTTTTAAAACAAAAAAGTAAATCCATCAGGAATATATACAAATTATAAACTTATATGAACCTAACAACAGAGTTCCAAAATATATAAAGAAACAACTGATAAAATAGAGTAAATTTAACCATAATGATCGGAGATTTCAAAACCACACTTTCAAAAAATGAATTGAATTAGTAGAAAGAATATCAACAAGGAAAGAGAAGACAAACAGCTACAAAACCAACTAGAATAACAGACATATAGAATACTCCAAGCAACGTCAGAATACACATTCTTGTCAAGTGCTCATTGAACATTCTTCTGGATAGACTACATACTAGGCCATAATAAAATCCTATATATGCTTAAAAGGATTGAAATTATACAAATGATATTCTCTGATCATGACAGAATTAAATTCATAATTAAAAACATAAGGAAATCTGGAAATCCTACAAATATGTGGAAATTAAGCAATATACTCACATTTAACCAGAAGAAATCATGAGAGAAATTAGAAAATACTTTGAAAAAGAAAAACACAGCATATCAGAACTTGTGGGATATAGTTAAGCAGTGCTTACATGGACATGTGTAGCTGTAAATGTTTAGATTAAAAAGATGAAAATCTCAAATCAATTATCTAAACTTCCATCTTACAAAAACTAGAAAAAGAAGAGCAACTTAAACCAAAGAAATTAGAAGGAAGGAAATAGTAAAGGTTAGAGTGAAAATAAATGAAATAGGGTAGAATATCAATGAAACTAAACACTGGTTCTTTGTATATTAAAAAAACTTTAGCCAGACTGACCAAGAAAAAAGGATGAAGACTGAAATTATTAAAATCAGGAATAAAAGAGAAGGCATAAGTACCAGCCCTACAGATATTTTTTAAAAGATCATGGGATAATACTATAAACAACTGCATGACAACTAAGACAAGATAGACGAAATGGACAAATTCCAAGAAGGACACAAACTAGCAAAACTAACTTTAAAAGAAATAAAAAGACAAGTGACATCACTGAAAATGGCAGAGTATGGAACTCCAGGCTTCATAATGAACAATTAGTGTGCTGGAAAAACTTTCTCAGAACTCTGGAATTTAGTAAAAAAAAAAAATTATAACAACCAGAAGGAAACTTGGTGAACAAAGAAGCTGCTGTTTTGTGGTAAAAATTTTTAAATTTCTTACCTACCATTCCCCATGCCACAGATTGGCAGTGATCTGTTGATGACAGCCCACTATCCTAGGTTAGATTGCTAGTGCCGGAGGTAGGAATTTGGACTTTATTCTCACAGAATTGTGGTGTGGGCCTTTGCTTGTCTGGTAGCTCCCTCAAAGCTCAGCACTAAGGCTTCCCTTTATTATGCAAGACTGGAAGCACTCCTTTGGCTGGAGCTAGGTTGACTCCTCAGTTGGCTTTTGCCCAAAGCACTTAAAGTCACAATTAGCCACAGAAGTCTGTAGCAAAGTGCAACACTCAGGACAAGCTATTCACAGACTGAGCAGTCCGAGAAGGAAGAATTCCAGAGGAAAAAGATAGGAGAAGGAACAAGCACTTTTAAAAACTATCACATATACTGGAAAATCAAGAACGCCATGTGTACATGCAGGGTTGGTCACAAACTCAGATAAGGCCAGAGAAAACTCAAGCATTCACCTTCAGGCTCTTCACAAGCAGAAAGTAAAACATTAAAAATATTATAACTCAGAGATCATCTGCAAAGACTAGGAAAGTGTTTGTTCTTTTTTTCTCTTTTGTTACCTTGAGGCACTTAAAAGTAACTCTGTCCAGATACCAGTTGACCAATAAACTAATAACATAGACTTTAGCGGCCACATATAACAAAGAACATAGAACTTACAAAAATAGTTTAAAAAGTCGCCAAGCAAGTAAACAATAACCCACAAGACAGAGTGACAACAAAACCCAAAGGAAGGGGAGAATCTGATTTCCAGAGTCTACACATTGTCTTAAAAATATGCAGATTCCAACAAAATTTTGTGAGCTGTACAAAGAAGAAAGTGTAGCCCATTCATAGGAATGAAAATAAATTATTAGGGACTATCAATGAGGAAGTCCACGTATTAGACTAACTAGATAAAGATTTTTAGTCAACTGTCTTATATATGCTTAAAGAGCTAAAGGAAACCATGGGCAAGGGACTAAGGGAAAGGAGGAGAAGAATGTCTTTGGAGAGATAGAAATATAAAGAGATATAGAAATCATAAAATAAATAGAAATTCTGGAGCTGAAAAGTACAAAAACTAAAATGAAAAACTCACTAGAGGGATACAACATTAGACCGTAGGCAGAAGAAAGAATCAGTGAATTTAAGATAGGTCAATTGAGATTATTTAATCTGAGGACCAGAAAATAAAAAGAACATAGAAAAATAGAGTGGAAGAGACCTGTAGAATACCATCAAGTGTACTAACGTGCATGATGGGAATTCAACAGGGAAAAGAGAAACAGAAAGGGGCAGAAAGAATTTTTAAAGAAATCATGGCTGAAAATTACTCAAATTTGATGAAAGACACTAATCTATGTATCCAAGAAGTTCAATGCACTCCAAAGAGGATAATCTCAAAGAGAACCAAACCAAAACACATCATAACCATCTTGTCAAAACCCAAATATATGGTACTATATTGTAGTAACAACAATATTGGCAATTTCCTAGTTCTTTGGGTTGGGTGGTGGTTTCACGAACATGAAAGAGAAAAAGAATGGAAGAAAAGTAAACAAAAGAGAAGGAAAGGTGAAGAAAGGAATGAAAAGGAAGCAAAAATCAGTGATGGGTGTGTCGTGAACCAACGTTTATGATACCTCTGTGCATCTGAGGTCCATATTAAAAATGTCTTAATGCTTTCTTTTCTAGCTATCTGACATTCTCTAAGAAAACAAGTCAACTGTTGGAGGGTAAGCTTCAAGTGTGGAGAGAGGTCAATGGAAATGGCGAGAAGGAAGTTAGTGAAATCAGTTTGGGGTACACGGACTCTGAGGTCCCTCGGGGACATTCCAGCAGTGATGTCCAACAGACAGTTGGCAAGGCTGATCTGAGATTCCGAGGAGAAAATATCCTGGAAATGTAGATTTGGGAGTCATTGATGTTTAGAGGGACGTGAACGAGATCGCCCAGGGAGAGTGAACATGGGGACTGAGGAGAGAGGAGGCCCAGGACAGAATCCCAGGAGCACCAGCACTCAAGGTGACAGCTCAACTCCCTGGCAGGCACCAGCACCTGGGCTGGAGTCAGGCAGAGCCAGCCTTGAAAGCGGGCTGTGGGGCTCAGGAGCTGAAAGCTGTCGGCAAAGTAGGATACCCTCTCTGATCAGCTGTCACACCTGGTGATAATGGGCATCTGAAAGGGATGCTCTGCAAGGATGCTGTGCGATGGGCTAGGTAAATCACCTGGGGTCAGAAAGCCACCCCTTCCTTCTCTTCTCGGGACTCCCCTCTCCTTTGTTACACACACCCCTCCCACTGTCCTTAGCTTCCCGGTCCCTCCAGGATAGGGAGATGAGGTGGGCGGGGCGGGGGTGGCCAAGCTCCAAGCTCGGGTGACGCGGCACTCATGTGACTGGCCGAGCACAGACGTGGGCACCAGCCCCCGCGCCCGCCCGCCCGCTTGCCCGCCCGCCCTGCGGTCCGGTCCCGGCGCCCGCGCGGAACCAGCTCCCCGGGCTGCACGGGTGGTGGGCGAGCGGCAAGCGGGCTTCCGCGAGCCCGAGGAGGCGCAGGCCTGTCCCGGGTGCCGCAGGTCAGTGTGAAGGCGGGCGCTGCCGGCGGACCCGGGGCAGGGGGTGGAGCGGCTGGCAGTAGGATCCAGGAGCAGCGGGGAGGGGGCGGGGAAGGGATCTGGGAGATTGGTGAGGAGGGGGGCGCGGAGTGGGCGGGGGGACCCCGCAGCGGCCCCAACTAGCCTTCTCATCCCCCCTCTGAGCTCTCCATCCATTTTACATCAGGAAATGGGGGGCGAGGGAGGACGCCCCCGCAGTGCGACGGCGAAACGCATTTATTCTGGAAATAACCCCCTCTCACACTCTGCGCCTATGAAGGCATATTGACCTCCGCAGAAAGCGGGTGGGGTGGAGCAGGTTGCCTCCAGGAGATGGGGAGACAGAGACCCAAACGCAGTTTGGAAAGCATCCTGGTCTGGCGCCCAAGGCCTGGAAAGAAATGGCGGCTGGGGTGCGGGGGAGGTAGGGGAGGAAAACGTTGGGTGAAAAGGACCTGGATTCAGGAAAGGACCCGACTCCCTGTGAGCCCCCTGAGCGCGCAATCCCTGCCCTGTCTCCTGTCTGTCTGCAGGTCTGCGTGTCTGTCGTTCCCAGCACTCTGCGAGGCCTGAGAAGGAGGAGCAACCTGTGCACAATCCCCACAGGTCCGTGAAGGGGTGGGCGGCAGGGACAGGGACCCAGAAGGGTTGAGAGTGTGGAGGGCACAGCTTGTGCAGAATTTGGGGCCCCGCTGCCCAGGCTGAGGGAGTGTAGAGAAGGCGGCCAGGCCTGCCAGGGAATGGCGGGCTCAGGTGTGTGGGAGGAACGGTGGGGTAAGTGGCGGGCAGAAGGCACACTTGGAGGTCTGGCCAGGGTAGGGGAACCCTCACCAGGGTATGGATGCAAGTATTATCCGGACCTGCTTTCCATCCCATCCCCTCAGTCTCCCATGTCTCCTCTTTCCTCCACTCCTACCCACTCAGGACAGGAAAAAGAGGGGAAATCTCAACATGGAAAAACCCCACAACAAAAATGAAGGGAAACGGGAAAACGAGGGAAACCCAGAAGATGAAGTAGAGCCTGAAGATGAAGGAAAGTCAGACGAGGAAGAAAAGCCGGACGTGGAAGGGAAGTCAAAATATGAGGGAAAGCTAGAGGATAAGGGAAAGCCACATGATGAGGGACAACGGGAAGATGAGGGAAAGCAAGCAAAGCAGGGAAAGTCCGAAGGTGAGGGCAAGCCAGAATCCCAGGCAAAGCCAGAGAGCCAGCCGCAGACCGCGGAAAAGCGCCCAGCTGAGGATTATGTGCCCCGGAAAGCAAAGAGAAAAACGGACAGGGGGACGACGGACGATTCTCCCAGGAACTCTCAGGAGGACTTACAGGAAAGGCATTTGAGCAGTGAGGAGATGATGAGAGAATGTGGAGATGTGTCAAGGGCCCAGGAGGAGCTAAGGAAAAAGCAGAAAATGAGTGGTTTTCATTGGATGCAGAGAGATGTACAGGATCCATTCTCCCCAAGGGGCCAAAGGGGCGTCAGGGGAGTGAGGGGTGGAGGTAGGGCCCAGAGGGGCTTACATGATATTCCATACATTTAACGCCTTTGGCCTTCAATTCTGCCTTCTCTGATGAGAATATTGCTGGCCCTGCTTTCCCTGGTAGGTATTTATTTGCCAGGCTCTGTGCTTTAACCTTAAGCTGATAATTTGCTTTAGATGTCACTCTCGTTACCAGCAGCCTTTTGATCCAACTATGCTCTGTCTTTTAGTAGAGGATTTTCACCTGTGTGCATGGAAGAATGTTCATAGTACATTGTAAAATAACAATAAAGAAAAAAACAGTTTGCAGAACCACATATACAGTATCAGCCCACTTTTGTAAAACTGTAAATATGTTTGCATAATGTATTTGTGCACAGAGAAAACTCTGAAAATGTGTATGTTTAAAAGTAGGAAATGGTTATTCCTGTATAGTGGCCAAGGATAGGTATAGCCTGTACTTAAAAATGAGTCCAATCACCTGATGGGTAGGTACCTCCATGCCAGGCCTCTGCTGTTGTGCCCATCCCCATGTCTTCCCTGGGTGTAACCAGGTCAGCGGGCACTGCTTCCCCTTCTTCTGAGTCCTCTACCATCTTATGACTCCCCCTATGTGTAATTCTTTTTCTTTTCTCTACTCATTCATCTCTGCTTCTTCCTAAAGGGCATGGATTACATTTGTCATAATAAAAATAAATGAAATCAGAAAACAATACATAATAAGCAATTGAACTGTGCAGTGAGCTTTTGAGGGCAAAGAAGACACTTAAAATTCATGTTTTCAGAAAGTAAGAGGATAGGTAAAACTCATATTATCTCTGGGACTAGAGGAATCAACTTGGTAATTATAATAGATCTATTGCTTTAAGGGTTAGTCTTGTCATCTGTGAAATGGGGATAATAGTTGCTTCACAGGACTGCCCAGTGTATCAGATGAAGTGCTGAGTATGTGAGCTATTTTGTGAGCTGGCCCTCACCAGCACCTGGGGGAGGAATGGCTCCTACACCATTAGCATGTAGTAGCAAGAATGTGGATGGAATCAGACAATTGGGGGAGGGCTGAAGGAGGTCTCACTCATGCCCAGGAACAAGTCCAGGCAGCTGAGAGGTAGATGCCACTCTCCTGGGTACTGCCGTGTCTACTGAGTGCTGTGCCCTTTCTCCTGGGTCCTGCACCCTTTACTAACAGAGGCTTTAAGGTGCCAAAGCCCTGACAATTTCTCCGGAGTCACTGGTGAGTCAATGTCCACCAACTCTTGATCCCCCCTCCACAGAAGTGGATAAAACTCTCTCCCCACTTTAAAGTTACTTTCACCAGTTACCCCTGGGTACCACTCTAGTGCTGCTTGGGCCCCTTATTAATACCTTTCAGATGCTTTTTCTGCAAAACAATCATTTATGTGTAATTTTTTTATGTGTTTTTTTTGCATACATAAATATTCTCCTCACAAAATTCAGATATTTCAGGCTAGACCAAAAAAAATATCTGTGCTGTTCTCGTGGATTAATATCTTTTCTGCAGACTGTCTTTCTCAGGTTGAGTTCATTCTCAGGAAACTCGTCAGGCCCCACCTTAGCAGTTCAGCAGACCCATCAATACATTTGAGTTTTAAATCCTTAGGAGTGAACATATTGTGGTCCATGGACCAGCTGCATCAACATCACCTGAAAGCTAACTAGAAATGCAGAATCTCAGGCCCTAATTCAGACCTACTGAGTTAGAATCTTTATTTTAACGCGATCCCAAGGAGTTTCCTATGCACATTGAAATTTGAGAAGCACCAGCTTAGGGGAAGACTCTTTTCAGGCTCCCTACTCCCACATTTATGCAAAATATGTGCCTGAAAAAACAAATATATACACTATATAAGACACATCACAAATGAATAGACCCATGTTTGCCAAACTGCGGTTGTCCTTCCCCCGTGCAAAGTAGAACTTGAAATTAATTCAGTGGGTCAAGACCTGAAATTTTTTTTAATGAGATATAATAGAATAGAGTTGAATAGAGCCAAATAGAAAATATCAAATTGCATTTCAATTAGGGTGAATATTGTTTTGTGAAATTTGTATTTCAGTTATGTATGCTTGTATGTGTGTGCACCATGGGTCGTGATGAAAAATGTATTTCTGACTGTGAGCTGTGGTTAAAAACATTGACAAATACACATTGGACTCTGCATCTCAAAACATAGCCTGTCCATTTAATACTTGTATTTCTAGTGCCCAGCACAAATACCTGACAAGTAGTAGGTACTTAATAAAAGTGTCAATAATAATAAGTGAGTCAGGAACCACAAGTTCTTCTCCAGGTTTAGCCTCTGTCTACACAAATAACCCTGAAAAAATACATTATCTAGCAGGGTTTACTTACAGTCCCAAAAGAATAGGGAAGTCAAGGGCTTCACAGGCTCAACAAGGCCTGTTGTAGTTAACAGTAAAGCTGCCATTCATAAAGAATACATACTGAGCAGCACCAAGGAGAGCTCCTGGGCTGCAGAGGGTGGAACTTCTCATCCCCAGTCAGGCAGGCTCTGTAAAAGCAAACTAAACAACTGTGGAATCTGTGTTATAAAAGGACCCAATGGAGGGTTCCGTATATGCCACAGGAGCACAGCCTCACAAAGGAATAGAAGAATGCCTGCCAGGGTGGGAGGACAGTGGATAGAGGGCTGACCTGGAGGGGTAGCAGTTGAGCACATGCCTATAGATGATCTTGCTCCACTTAGCTGGGGGGAATTAAGGTCTTGGCTTTTAGAGACAACATATATCCTATTGGTTTTCTGCTTGGACTTCATATAGTGGTACCCAGAGCAAAAAATAAAGACCTACAGTAGTTCCAGATTATAGCACAAGCTTCTTTGACACTTCAGCCTCATGACCCTGTAGATATAATTATATCATGTCTGTGCTATATAGAGAGGCTCCATGAAGTCTTAGAAAGCCCCAATAGTAGAATTAAAGTATACACCTTGGGTTTTAAAGGAAAACTATGCTCTCTTTTCTTGGCATCTAGTCTACATTTGAGAAGCTGCTCCTGGTGTGCTACCAGACCTTGGTAGAGACTTAACACTTGACCACGAGGTATTAATTTTCTGCACAGTTGAGATACACTTAATGAACTTCTTTCTGTCTACTCTGTTGAATAATAAAGTTTGGTGTGGGCATCAGCTTTCCACCATTAATTGTAAATGGTTTCAAAAGATCAGGCCTGAGTAACCCAAGAAGGCATAAGTAAATTTCATGTGCAGTTGGACCAGACTCCCTTGATACTACTCCTGCTATTTTATTGTCTTTCTCTCAACCTACATATATCATATATGGCCTTGTGGGGAGTTCTTCATCCTCATGCCCAGTTAGAAAATGATAGGTAAAACAATGTCCCAGTTTCTGGGTGTACCGTTTTTGTATATTGATAGGAGGTGCAAATGGATGATTGCTTCACCGTAGTCCCACTCAGGCATAACCCAGAAGCACAGTGGAAAAGAGACATGCTACCAGTGAGTAGGATTTTATGTGGTTCATGTGGTTGTCCATTTTGTGTAAAACCCTTCATGGATAGAGATATGGATTTCCTCTGCCTCATGAGCAATGACTAAAAAATTGGCTGGTAAGGGACTTGGAGAAAATTAAACTGGAAAATTAATGATGAAGAGATCTGGGGAATAGGTTTGTAGATGGACCACTCATGAAGGACACAGTTAGTAAAGATATTTGTGTCCCATGATGCAGTGGTTTACTATTACATAATAAATTACCACACTCTGAGCACCTTAAAAAACACGCATTTGTTAGCTCACAGTTCTATAGGCCAAAAGTCCGGCATGACATAATTGTGTTCTTTGCTTAGAGTCTCACAAAGCTGACATCAGTATATCAGCCAGACTGAGTTCTCCTATGGAGGTTCTAGGGGAAAATGGGAAAATCTGCCTCCAAGATCATTCAGGTTGTTTTCAGAATTCAGTTCCTTGTAGCTGTAGGACTGCAGTCTTTTATTTTTATTTTTTTTTTATTTTATTTTTTGCTGGCTATTGGCCACGCTGTTTTCAGCTCCTAGAGTCCACTTCCATGTGGCCTCCTCCAACATCCACTGTGCAATGGCACATTGATTCTTTCCTATGCTTCTAATTTCTGACTTCTCTGTCTCTGACACTAGACCCTTATTTAAAGAGATGATGTGATTAGGTCAGGCTCACCTAGATAATCTTCCTATGTTAAGATCAACTGACTGGGGACCTTAATGTCATCTGCAAAATCTCTTCACTTCAAGACAGAGATTAGAATTTTATTGAGTGACTGGGAAAAGGTATATATACACCATGGCTGGTAATTTGAGGGAGCCATCTTAAAATTCTGTCTACCATAGTCTGGTCCCCAAATTTATGTCCCTCTCAAATGCAAAACACATTCAACTCCCCCCAAGATTCCCAAGAATCTTACTCCATTATAGCATCATCTCAAAAGTCAAAATAGCATTGTCTAAACTATCTAAACCAAATGTGTATGAGGATCTTGGGCATAATCCACTAAGTAAAGCTCCTGAAAACATTCCTCCCCATCTGTGAATCTGTGAAACTAAGGAGACAAATTCTCTGCCCACAAAACTCCTAAAATATGATGATGAGACAGACACAAGATAACAATTTTAGACAAAAATAAGTAAAATGGAAGATAAAAAGAGGTCACTGGCCCAAAATTCCTTTATTAGATTTCAAGGCCTGGGAATCTTTGCCCTCTGTGCTTTTGGCTCTATCCTCAGGACTCTCAGTTCTATACTCTGAGCTCTTAGTTGTAGTATCTGAATAATCCTTCCTTTTTCATTAAAGGTAGCATGTGTTCCCAGCTGAGTAGTTTTATCGGGCCATTTCCCATCAGGAGAATTTTGAGGGTCTGGCATATTCTTTTCATCTTATACTGTCCCGTCTCTTTCATTTCAAGCTGACTGTGTTTCTGCTGATATAATTTTCTTAAGAATATAGTGAGTCTTGCATAAATTTCACTGGGTTTTACTCCATTAAAGAAAATCCACACTCAAAAATATTTTTGAAATCATTTTTCTCTATTTTTGACTTCTGCTGAGGTGGCCGAGTGTGGCTGCTCTCAGCTCCTATAGGCTGTGCACATTCCTTGCCACATGGTGCCCTCCAGCTTTAAACCAGCAGTGGCACACTGAATCCTTCTTGTGCTTTGAATCTTTGATTTCTCTGTCTCTGACCTGCAGACTCAGCCCCTCTGATTTGATTGAGAGAATGTGTAAGTCATACTTTTAATCTTGAAAATGACCTTTGTGTGATTGCATGCTCTCACTTTCTTC